TGTTATGAAAAAAGTATCAAAATATGTTGCCTACATTTTGGCGCATATTTTTTATATTACATTAACTGACATTATTATTAAATTAAAACATAAGCAGAGACAAAAGCTGAACAATTTTAATAAAAGACTTAAAAAGTAATGATATTTAATTTAACATATTAAGGTTTAGATTTAGAAAAAATCAGTGCCCAATGTGGGCCATTTAAAAATAGTTTTGTTATATTGTTTGTTAAAGAAAATGAGGATTTTTATTAGCAGATATATGTTCATATCATATATTCCAAATACAGCAGATAAAAAAGATATACATTTATTTATATTGCGACCACTTGTAAAGGGGAAAAGAGTGTGTGTGTGACATATGTTATTCAGTTGTAAGTGCAATGAAGGAAAAAGATAAAATCGATGGGCATTTCTGGCCAAAACACTTGACGGGTTTCCTCTGCTCTGGAGTGTTGAGTTCTGCATTGGCCAAATCGTACCAACAAATTAATAACGTGATATGGACAATAAAGACACTTGACTGGCGCAATTCCTCCTGCACGTCTCCCTGGTTTCGCGATTCTAGCCCATATAAAGGCCGTCTTGGGGGAGCCATGTATTATGAGAGTAGTGTCATAACAGACAGAGAAAGTTACTCAATGCAATGGAAGCACCTCCGTCAGATCGATAGCACAATGCTGCAGGCAAGAAATTTTTGGTAAGGTATTGTAAGTACCGGAGACAACGGTACTGCTTACAACGCTTGCAACATTAAAAAGCAAGGATTATAATAACAGTATGGATATATAATAATCGTAATTATAGTTTAGTATAGTTATTATTTAGTTCACTTTTTAAACATAAAAATTCTAAACTAAACTATTATTTAATCTAGAATTATATTATTTAATTATTCCTAATGCTACAAGTCATTTAAAGCATTTAATGTATAATACCAGTTCCCAACTATTTTTTCCTCTACCCAGATAAAAAAAAGCAAACCCCTGCTGACCAGTGTAATCGATACGAAAATCATACTCAAAATAGAATGGCCACTAAGTCAGTTAGCAAGAATGTTCGTCCGCTAATTGTAAAATCAGTTTAGGCGCACTTTTCAATGGACTCAAATCGGGCGCTGCCAACGCGGAATACTCACATCTAATAAATAACAATTACAAATAAATGAACTATTAAAAATATAAAACACATTAACAATTAATTCTGTGCGTTTAATGTCCGGCTAGTGAGTCGCGAGTTTGGTGTGGATTATAGAGCAATCGATCCCAGCCAGCGAGGATGGTTCAGTTCCTGGGGAATCCGGGCGCTAATAGTGGTCAGTGCCCATTGAGTGGCTTCATGGCCAATTGCTAATCAAATTTGCAGCTTATCCGGAGAGAACTTGACCTTGGAATACGTTTTCATGTTCTTAAGACTAAATATACGTAAACTTTTTAGATCTTTACAAAGACTAAAGTTTTGTTCCCACAAGGTTGTCCTTTTTAAAAGGATAATTTGCAAGAGAAACATTGTATTATTTTTAGGAATTCTGTATCCTTAGTAAACTTGAACAAAATATATGTAAACTTCAATTCTACTTTCAGAACATTGTTAAAAAATGTATTTCAGCCTTGCAGGGTACTATAATTTTAGTCAAAAGTGAACATCGCCGTAAAGGAGTCTTTTACGACCCCATAAATTGTATATATTCTTGATCAGCATCGATAGCCGAATCGATCTTGCTATATTTTTAAAGAACAAAATTTTTTAGATTTTTTCAAAAAAAGATAAGGGGTTTCATCGTTAAAATTGTCGAAAATTGCCAAAAATTTGAGGTTTTAAACTGAGTATGCAGATTTAACATATAAAAAACTAACATAAAAACTTTCCGAATTGAAATTAATGCATTTTTGTCTCAGTTATGAGATTTTTTTTTTATCTTTGATTTGTAAACCGAAATTGTTATATATACTATTATAATTTCAGTTATTTTAAGTTTTTAAAATGAAAAACTGGGGATGCAAATTTGTTAACATACTAAAAACAAACACAGGAAAGCTTTCCGAACTAAAATTAATGCACTTTTGTCTGAGTTATGAGATTTTAAATCTTTGATTTGTAGAACAAAATTGTCATATAAAAACATGGATAAATATATCTGATTAAAGAATGGTATAATAATTTCAATCAGAAGCTTGTAATGCAGTGAAGGAGTCATTTCCGACCCCATAAATCATATATTTTCTTGATCTGCATAAAAAGTCGAGTCGATATAGCATGGTATTCTACTCAAATTTTCAAAATTTTATAAGGGGTTACATCGTTTAAAATTTCAAAAATTGAAAACAATTTTTTATTTATTTTTTAATTTCAAATTGAGTATGTAGTTTTATTAACCTGATAAAAACTAACACTGAACAGCTTTCCGAATAAAAAATAAAGGGGTTTTTTCCTTAGTTATGATCGGTTAAAATTAGGACCACTATTCCAACTACAAACTGCAAACTACCAGCTGATCTTCTCCTATATCATACACCAATTACAGAACTAATTCACATGGTGACCCTGGACAAGACGGGCAAGAAGTCCTTCGGCATCTGTATAGTACGCGGCGAGGTAAAGGACTCGCCAAACACCAAGACCACCGGCATTTTCATTAAGGGCATTGTTCCCGATAGTCCTGCCCACCTGTGCGGGCGCTTAAAGGTTGGCGATCGAATCCTCTCGCTAAACGGCAAGGATGTGCGCAACTCCACAGAGCAGGCGGTCATCGATCTCATCAAGGAGGCAGACTTCAAGATCGATCTGGAGATTCAGACCTACGACAAGAGCGATGAACAGCAGCAGCAGGGGAAGGGAGATCAGCGCAGCAATGGCTACATGCAGGCCAAGAATAAATTTAACCAGGACCAGATGACCAACAACAATGCGGCCGGAGGTCAGGGCATGGCAATGGGCCAGGGTATGAATCAAGGACAGGGAATGGGAGGCATGAACCGGCAACAGACGATGCAGAAGCGGAATACCACATTTACGGCGTCGATGCGACAGAAATACAGCAACTATGCGGATGAGGATGACGAGGATACCCGAGATATGACCGGACGCATTCGCACGGAGGCAGGATATGAAGTGGGTTATTAATTTGTCAACCTTTTTATTAGGTTTTTATTAAAACCCTAATTCCCCAATACCTTCAGATCGATCGCGCCTCCGCCGGTAACTGTAAGCTGAACAAGATGGAAAAGGATCGCGACAAAGAGCAGGAGGATGAGTTTGGCTACACAATGGGTAAATCCCCTCCAGAACACAAATCTAACTCTCTAACAATCTCTTCCAATCAGCTAAGATCAACAAGCGGTACAACATGATGAAGGATCTGCGGAGGGTGGAGGTCCAGAGGGATCCTAGCAAGCCGCTAGGTATCGCTCTCGCCGGTCACAAGGACCGCCAGAAGATGGCCTGCTTCGTGGCCGGCGTGGATCCAAACGGAGTGTTTGCCAGCGCAGACTTCAAGCCCGGCGACGAAATTGTCGAGGTTAACGGCAATGTGCTTAAGAATCGTTGCCACTTGAATGCCTCCGCCGTGTTCAAGAACGTGGACGGGGACAAGCTGGTGCTGATCACCTCGCGGCGCAAGCCCAACGATGAGGGCATGTGTGTGAAGCCAATCAAGAAGTTCCCCACCGCGTCGGATGAGGTAAATGGAGCGTACTCCCTCTATAAATAATAAAATACATATTTATAATTATGAATATTTCGGCAGACCAAGTTCCTGTTCGATCAGTTCCCCAAGGCGCGCACTGTGCAGGTGCGCAAGGATGGCTTCCTAGGCATTATGGTCATCTATGGCAAGCATGCCGAGGTGGGCAATGGTATCTTCATCTCCGATCTGAGAGAGGGCTCCAATGCCGAGCTGGCGGGCGTGAAAGTGGGCGACATGTTGTTGGCCGTCAACCAAGACGTGACACTGGAGTCCAACTACGATGATGTGAGTTCTGCAAGCGAAAAATCCCCTTAGCTTATCACAAATTCCCCCTGACCTCAGGCAACTGGACTGCTGAAACGTGCAGAGGGCAATGTGACTATGATTCTGTTAACCCTAAAGAGCGAGGAGGCCATTAAGGCCGACAAGGAGGCGGAGGAGAAGAAGAAGGAGGGTGAGTATTGCTTCTATTAACAGGTTGCCTAAGCTCCTTATTGCATCCAACCCACAGAGGCCAAGAAGGAGGAGGAGAAGCCGCAGGAACCCGCCACAGCCGAGATCAAGCCCAATAAGAAGATTCTCATTGAGTTGAAGGTGGAAAAGAAGCCGCTGGGCGTTATAGTCTGCGGCGGCAAGAACAACCATGTCAAGGTGGGTCTCATTCAGACAGTTTTGTCGAAAACATTCCATTTAATCCTTCCTTGCAGACTGGTTGTGTGATCACACACGTATATCCGGAGGGAGCTGTGGCCGCCGACAACCGCCTCAAGATTTTCGACCATATTTGCGACGTAAACGGAGTGCCAACCCACGTGGGTGCCATGACCACGTTGAAGGTCCATCAGCTGTTCCACACTACGTACGAGAAGACCGTCACCCTTACCGTCTTTCGTGCCGATCCGCCAGAGCTGGAAAAGTTCAATGTGGACTTTATGAAGAAGTCGGGCAAGGAACTGGGCCTCTCCCTGTCGCCCAACGAACGTGGCTGCACCATAGCGGATGTAGTAAGTCTTCGGAGCATTTAACAGAGATGGCATGCACTGATATACATTCTATTTCGCAGATCCAAGGCCAGTACCCGGAGATCGACAACAAACTGCAGCGCGGCGACATCATTACCAAGTTCAATGGCGACTCACTCGAGGGCCTCACGTTCCAGGTGTGCTACGCTTTATTCAAGGGTGCCAACGGCAAGATCTCGATGGAGGTGACTCGACCTAAGCCAACTCTGCGCACCGAGGCACCCAAGTAGAGACGACGATCCTCCGAAAGCGAATCACTCTTGCAGCATTCAATAAAAGATCCGAGACACTTCTTATTCAAAACAAGCCGTTTTCCGTTAAGGGTTTTATTTGAAAATCGGAGCTTGTTAGGCTATGGAGCTTGCATTGGATGCGATACGGGGCCACAGATCAGCGCATTCCTTGGCCACGGGCCCGGTGATGGCCGAGCCCTTCATTTCGCCCTTGTTGTTTACTATTACCCCGGCATTGTCCTCGAAGTATATAAAAACGCCATCCCTCCTCCTGAACGGTTTACGCTGCCGAATCACCACGGCAGGCATGACCTAAAATAAGAGTGAACAAACAGATAAGTAAAGTTTAGCAAGTGTAAGGCAGAATAATATGTGTGATTAAGCATATATGGCTTCAGGACAAAATATTGACGGCAAACATATGAAACTTTAACAGATATTTAAGGTACAATAATGTATTTAAAGTTGCTGTTGGAAGCCGCCTAACATGTTCCTTTAACGCATCACAAATTTACAAAAACAAATCGAAGAAAACGTGCTTAGCCGAGATAAGTTATCTCGTCGCTTATTTTGTATATTGTATTATATACAACATATAGACGAATTTTCATTAAATTTATGATTAAAATCTATTTCCATCTTCACTAATTCCTTATTCTACAGTAAAATTTGCATAATAATAGAGAACAATAAAAAATCAATACAGAATGTATTAGCAAACAAGTTCGCAAATTACTTCAATGAAGTACAATCAGTACAAAAACAAAGAGTATAAAAACGTGATACATCCACAAAGCCGATACTATCCTACTTAGAATATCCTGAATATTTCCACATTTCTGCCATTTTTACACACTTTTCTCCACGTGAAGCTGCACTCACCTTCTTCCTGAGCTCAGGCTTGCCCTTCTTGACGGTGGCCACGAACATATCACCGACGCCAGCGGCCGGCAGACGGTTCAGGCGACCGCGAATTCCGTGCACGGCAATAACATACAGGTTCTTGGCACCTAGAAGCGGCAATATAATGAAATCCAGGCCCAATTCTTGCCAGCAATCGCTACTCACCTGTATTGTCGGCGCAGTTCATCACGGCGCCCACTGGCAAACCCAGAGAGATGCGGAACTTTCCTCCCGCGGTACCTCCACGTCCTAGTTGGAAAAACACACATAATTAGTTATTTCACTACATTGTTTTACGCTCGACGGCGTCGCCTGTTTATTTATCACAAAGCACCCGCGTATTCCCAGATTCAATCGGATTCTTTTTCGTTTTTTTTTTACCTCTCTTCGACATTTTGCTTGTTGTTCGGAGCCGGAAGTTAAAAGAAAGAGATGGAAGAGGTTAGTGTGTCTTATTGCCAATTTGCCATATTTTTTTGTTTATATTTTTCCATATTTCCCCTTTGGTCACTCTGATTTCCGGTGCTGTTGTTAACATTTTACATTTGTAGAATTCTAATGTATGAAGTAGAATTATCATGTAGGAAGTAAAATTCATTAACAGACATGCTCTCTCAAAAACAACTATATGACATTATTGGTTCGTATATTTTGATATTTCTGTTTTGGTCACTCTGAATTTCGAGGCAGTTATTTAACATTTTACACGTTATATTTCTAGAAAACCATTTTAACCATTCACAGATACATGGGTAGAATTTTCATATTGGAAGTAAAATTCATTACCACATATTTTTTGATATGTTTTCTTTGGTCACTCTTAATTCCGATGCTGTTATTTACATTTGACATCTAACATGTCTAGAATTCTCATGTAGAAAGTATAATTCATTAACAGATTTCTTTTGATATTTTTTACATGTTTTTTGGCCACTCTGAATTATAAAGGTGTTATTTAACATTTGACATCTTACACGTCTACAAATACATGGGGTAGAATGTAGATTTTTTTAAGATAACCAGTTACCAGTTTATATAAAAATACACCATATTTTTTTAAAATACCCGACAGCCCCAGTACAGGAGCGACTAGCTTACTTTTTGGACTAATTGTTTATCATTTTTATTGTTTAAGGATAATTTTCAATTTTATTTCTATGATTTGTTTTAGTTTTTTTACTATAGTAAAGATCTATTTATTAGAATTATTCATTGGACCGTTTACTTTGGGCAGCCCTCACTGTACTCTAGAACTAGTTCCACACCCCGCTGAACAAGAGCAAAAGGTCCGCCAAACAGCTGTTTTACTATTATCAACTGTTGATTGTCCCATTTTCGAAACAAAGAGATGTGAAGAGACCCGCAGAAACATTCCATTGAAAAACTCCACCCAACGCGATGCATTCCTTCCAGGCGCAGGCCCAGGCCCGCGAAAAGATCTTCAAGAGCTGGTCGGGAATCAGCGAGGTGACCATCATCAAGGAGGTGGCCACCAAGGGCGAGCACATCGCCCTTTGCATGGAGTTTTGGGCGAAAAAGCGAAAGATTCCCATATCGGAGTACTGTCACATCTTCTACGACGTGGTCCAGGCCTACGTGCAGCGGCTGCTCTCGGAGCGATTGGTGTGCAAGGCGGAGGACGTAATCCGCAATGTGGACCGGGACGTCAAGTGCTTTTTCTTCCAGTTCGCCTGCGAGTGTCAGGACGAGGATTTGAGTGAGTTCGTCCTTGATCACCTGCGTAATCGGGAGCCCCTAATGTACGAACAGGAGGAGCCAGTTCTGGCCTATCACTGGTCGTTGGTTCAGCAGCTGAGGGAATGCGATACTTTGTTGACCAAGCATAGGGTGCAACTGCCCCGTGTTAACATAGAAGCCCTGATGACCCTGCCGGAGGAGGCACTGCAACGGCTCCTTGTGGAGCTATATTTTGCCAATGGCAACGAATCTCTGCTGGGATCCCTGTCCAAGGAAATGGTCTGGCAGCACCTGGTGAATAATAACCAGCTGGAGAGGCTGCAGCGCTGGTGTCACTGCCAAGAGGCAGCTGTGGATACCCAACAAGCGCTCTCGCCCTTGGAACAGGGATTTGCCGCTTGGAAAATAGATGCCACTATGTACGAGTATGCCTTGGAGCGACTGCAGCAGCCCAGTGAAGTGCTGCGCAACTTCTTCGCCCGCGCTGGTTACTTCTTTAAAGACGAGTTCAATGATATTCCCATCCAGGTGCGACGGCTCTGCACCATGCAATGCCTGGAAAAACACGCGGATCTATTGAGCCGTCAGCCCCTGGCTAAATATCTCTTGGATCGTGGCCTACACTCGCTGCTCCTCATGGACTGTGTGCCCGTGGCCTCGCTGGAGCATCTGGCGGGCAGTGAGACGCATCAGGAGGCGTTGCTCAACCTAATTGTGGACCTTAAAACGAATTCTTTGACCGAAAACGAGGGATTTGAGTTGGTAAGCGAGATAATTTCTCCTAAACTAATAAAGAACAAGAAAGCAAACTTACCTTAGCAAGCCAATATTTAGAAAAATTAAAAAATTATTTTTCTCTAAATTATAGCTAGTTCGACTCGCCTGCATTACAAGCTTCTGATTGAAATTGATTGAGCAGATATGTTTACGTTTATATGACAATTTAGTTCTACAAATCAAAGATTAAAAATCTCATAACTCAGACAAAAATTCATTAATTTTAGTTCAAAAAGCTTTCCTGTGTTCGTTTTTGAAACGTTAACAAATCTGTATACTCGGTGTTTAATTTTAAATGACAGAAATTAAAATAGCATCTTTGAGCGGATATATATGTTTATCTATCTTTTTATATTCCAATTTTGTTCTACAAATCAAAGATTATAAATCTCATAACTCAGCCAAAAATGCATTCATTTCAATTCGTAAACTTTTCCTATGTTAGTTTTTTATTAGTTAACAAATGTGCATACTCAATTGAAAACCTCAAATTTTTGGAAATTTTTAAAAATTTTAATGATGTAACCCTTTACCTTTTTTTGAAAAAATCGATCAAATTAAAAAAAAAAACCTCTAAATTATAGCTAGCTCGACTCGCCTTTTTATGCTGATCAAGAATCTATATAACTAAAATTAAAATACCCGGCAAAGTTATAAAATTAATTAAGCTCGTATTTTTTTCTTACAGATCTCTAAAAGTGTTCAAACATACTTGGAGAAAACCCATGATTTGGCCGACTCCTTTCAGGGACACCCCCTGATTACCTTCTACGACTTTCTGGGCCAGGAGCCAACTGTTCGTTCCTTGGAAGGATTCCTCACTTCAACAAGCTTGGGACGAGTGCCCTATCTCAAATCGCTGACATCTCGCTTCGATCACGGACCAACGAGCAGCAGTTCCGGCCTGCCAACGGCTCACGATCTCTTTCTAAAGTTCAAGCACATTAATTTGCCACTTCTGAACGCCGCTGGACATGGTGAGCTTGTCAGTTTCTCGAATCCCCGCCTGTGCCAACGGTATGCGCGTAAATCTCAACTTAATTACACTCACTATCTGAAGCAGCAAAGGAGTGCCTATGCGGTTTATTACCTGATCACGGAGCAACTGCAGCTTTATGGACAGATAACAAAGACTCAGCTCTTTCATGCCTGTGAAACGGTTACCCAAATGGCGCTCCAATACGCTGGCGATGAGGAGCTGGTTACCCATTGCGTGGCCTGCTGTGAAATGCTTGGATTCGATACTCAACCCCTGCGAAGTTTCCTGCTGCTACAGAGGAAGATGCCAAAGCACAAGGACGGAGGCAGTTACTCGGATTTGTTGGCTGAGTGGGATCAAGATCTAGTGCATCAGATACGGATGGAGGCGGATACCAAGGAGTTCCCCCTAGAACTGTACCAGGCTCTGATGCGTCTGGCTGTGAGGGATACGCCTGGAAGACTGCCAGTGGTTTTGCTCGAATATTATGCCTCCAAGGACGACTGGTGGCACCTGTTGCTGCTGTTACAATACTTTGATCTTCCGCTGGGTGAGCTTAAAAAGCTTCTGCCGCACTTCAAGTCATCTCCCCTGGGTGTCCATCTGCTACGGGCTTTGAGCTATGAATCCATCGGTGATCGCCAGCATAAGAGGAACTTCCAGAGGCCTCCGCGTCGGAGTGGAGAGACCCAGACAAACTCGTCACAAGAGACGATGACCAATTCATCGCACAGTTCCAATCAAGACACTAGCATGCAACAGCTTCAGCGGAATACGGATCAATCCCTGTGCACCTTGCTTACGCACACCGCTCGTCAGGACCTGTTTGCTATTATTCTGTGCAGCACCAACAATCTGCCGGATGAGGCGATTATTACCACAGCGCAGTTCCTCGACACGATGCTTGGCACTGCTTCTTCGCATTGCAGTAGCATCAATCTGTTGAGGCACTGCGTCCGCCAAGAGTTGCCTGTCTTGTCCGTGCTGGCAGCCACACTTAGCGAACAGAACCGCGATTGGTGCTGGCTTGTTTGGCTGACGGTGGCCAGCAATCAGTGGAATCACCTGCTTAAGGAAGCCACTGCCACCAAGGCGCGGGAAGAGAATCGAATGGAGTGGGTGTGGTCTGTCATCCGAGGAGCTGTAGCTGGAGGTCAGGTTAATGCCCTGCTGCATAGCCTAGAAATCTTTCAGCCGGTAAGTGTATTAATTAAAATTGAAATTTAATAGTTTAAGTTGAAATACTTTGCCTTTTAGGACTGCAAATTTACGCATCTGTGCCGCTTCCTGCAGCTGACTGCCCAGCAGGAGGACTTTAGCGATGCCACCATCGTGGAGCTGCGTCAGTTCTTCTGCAGCTGGAGCCAGGATGCAGTGACTCTGCCCCTATGTGGCTCTTTGGCCCGCAAACAAGTCATGCAACGCTCTATCGGTCTGCTGATCATTCAACTGCAGTCGAACTTTGACTGCATTCTGCAGCAGCAGCGATTCCTTGATTGCATCTGTCGCTCGGATGTTGGAGATATATGCGACTTGCTAGATTTCTGTTTGCTGCACAAAGTCTTTGGTGTGGCAGCCACGTGGCTGAGGGAACTGGACATCGATCTAGAGCAGTTGGTGAAGAGGGATAGCTCGGAGTACAGGCGACTAGTGGACGCTCTCACCGAAGCTCGAGCTTACGAGGAAGCTCTTCAGCTGGCAACCTTGCTGCAGTTACCCCTGAGCGATATAGTCTATGGCAAATGGCTAGCCGAACTGGAAGGAGGCGTACTGCGACCCCATCAGGAATACGAAAGGGAGATCCAGCAACATGCTCTGCCACCAGCAATTCTAGTGAACTTTCTGCTGCAGGCAGCGTCCTCTGATGGGCAAGCCGGACTTCGGCGCTACGAGCTTCTCCAGAGCGCTCTCGGTGTGATCAAGCAGCATCATTTGTTTCCCAATGAATCCTTTGACCGTGATCAGATAGAATACGATATGGTATTGTGCTATCTGCAGCTACCGGAGGACC